ATTTTAATTCTGAATTACCATAAGCAATTTGTCTTACTATATTCGATCAGTAAAACTCTAAAAAAATTTGTAAAAGATAATAAAAAAGGTTAGTCAATGTATAATAATTGTTAGATCAATTGTTAGATTATTTGATGGATCTTCATTAATAAAAAGAAGAGAAATAGATATGTATATATAACACTATAATATTGCTAGTCATCATGTATAAGAAAAAATTTGCATTGTTTATTGACAATTCTACTACTAGTCCATTGTTTAACATATTACATCATAATATTGCTAAATTGCTATAATATATAGTATAGCAGTATAATTTCCATTTGAAGACAATGAATGTCCCATTTGACGGCACAATGATTTAGTAATAATGTGTTTGTGCCATGCATCTTGTCCATATACAATTCGTCAAGCATCGGTAAATTATAAATTTTAAAAGGCTGTGCTCTAAACGTATCAGTCTATATTTCTGAGATGTGGTATTATGTACACTATTTACATTATTCGGACTATTGTCCTCATCTTTTTCGCCATGTTTATCACAAAGTTTCGGCCACAAAAATCTCCTGAGCCGACCAAGCATAGCAATGAATACAATATGGGAACCAGTAGTAAGGAGTGTCAGAGAAAAGCGATAATAAAAAAAAAAATTGCAATATGAGCTCTGGTAAAAAAATGAATTGATAACAGCAAGAATTGCAATATGAGCAGTGATGAAAATGGTTGCTGAAGATATTAAGTTTATAATAACCAGAAATTCACACACAGTTGTCGTCAAGGACACATGGCATAGTGGATAAAGGCGTTACTTAGATCCAGTGACAGGACCCCAAAAATGTGAGTTTAGTAACTGCTTAAGGCAGAGAACTTTCAGAGGGAAATTAACAGGAGATAACTGTTAACTGACATCCATTAGACATGGCACGTGGAACTAGAACAGTCTACCCTAGTGAGCGAAATAAAGGGTTCAGTTCGACATTCCAACCACCTGAAGAAAGCTGTTGGGATAAACATGGAGACAAAGATGAGGACAATTGTCCGAACAGTATAAATACTGTGCTCTAAACCTTTCAATCATCACCGGAATGAAATTCCAACGCTACGATTTGGAACATATACTTAATCTTTTAATCTGATTTCCCTGAAAAGCGGTAATATTTTGTGTCCTTATTTATCGTGTCAAGCCCTTTCTTTTAAATTGAGTGCAATACCACGGTTCCAATATCGACATGTCCTAGTATAAATGATATTTTCGCACCAGATTTATATTACTTGTATTCTAATAGTACGAGAATATATTGCTTTAAGATCACAACATCCGTAGACACGACTCTATTGCTGGGTGATTCAGAAAGAAAATTTTTTTAAAATTTAGTGTAGTATCAGAAAGTTCAGAAGAAATATGCGTTTCAGCAAACGCAAGAATCAAAACTGCTAGGTGTACATTAGGGACTATTTGGTTGTGTTTTTAAAGATTATCAACCATTTTGTGTTATTTAAAGCCGAATCCTATTTTCGATGGTACGTAAAATTGTTTGCTTCGTTTGCAAATAGTTTTTTTTTAATCATTTTACCCAAAACAAGGCAATAAAGCAACTAAAATGCAAGGGTTGCTGAGTGTGAAAGAATACGAGGAAAACCTGCATTAACAATATATTTCATAATCCCTACTATTTACCCCATTTAAACATCCCTTCCACCATTCTAGGAACTTCTTGAATTATCACCAAACAGGATTTTACCAAATAGTCACCTTCTCAGCTGCAAGAAAAAACTCCAGTAATGCCATCGTTAGAAGTGTTGGCTTTCTTCCTTCATCTAGAGCGTGTAACAGTCGCTTACCTGTCGAGTCCATCTCAACCCTGGAATACTAGTACTTGAGCTGAAACTCAATCCTAAATAAGAGTTGAATTCATACCTTTTCCCAGGGTATTTACAAGTACTTAAATATAAAGAACATGACTAGAATTTCAACACCATGTTCATTAGGGAAACAAAAATCAAGAAGGTACTAGAAATAAAATTTATGGGTAATAATATAACAGGCGAAGGAAAACATGATCATGTAAGGAAGGGATTGGAATCGTCTGATATGAACGTCACGTCTGCGGATAAGAGAAATAAATATTCAGATCAATTAGTCATGTTAAGAACGGCCGAATGCCAAATCGAGCACCTCGTCATCTGCGAACAAAGAAATTCGCTAAAAATCAAGTCAATTGTCTACAATAAGTTCTTGGGCATAATGGTCAGGCTCTGGAACGAAATATTATGTTTCAAGTAAAATTCTACTAATGTCTATATGGCTTAAGTGAACCTTAAATGAACAAGAGTCAATAAGTTAAACATTGGTAAAATGTGGCTTCATTGTTTTCCAGATTACAGTTGGCGTATCCTTGAAGTCGATGAAATTAATGGAAGCTGTATTGAATCAATTATTCGTTTTCATATTATCTACGAGGTTTTATGCAAAATACCCTTTCGTATTCTTATTCTTTATGGCGTAGGCGATTATGGCTCTCAACGACTTCTAGTCATTTTTAACTCTTAAATTGTCTTTGTTATTTCTCATAAAACCCTGTCCTGCCATCCATTTGCGTAAACTCATTATGTTATGCAATGTTTTCCTTTATCCCCCTTGACTCCAATCTGTCATGTGAGTATCAGATTTTCAAATCCCTCTTTCATCAATATGAGCCCTAGAAACCTCAACTGTCTCTTCCTGACGTATCAGCAATTTGAAAAGATAATAGATTTGTAGAATCAGATTCCTACATTTTTTTAAATCTTAAATTTTGTGCAAGTTAAACACATAGAGGCTCCCAGCCAAATATAACAACTGATGTATTTTGATTGGTTGTAAAATATTAATTAGGTGGCGTCAACTACGTCCGAAGGTACCGACCCAAATTTTGACCTCTAGTTGACGCCATAAAATGTAAACATGTTTACGAGCCTCCCCACGTGACCAAGAGAACTAATAAAAACGAAACTTCGACGCGACTTGATCAGTGGGCACTTAAAATATTGAAACCAATTCACTTGACTTCATTGGAAATCAACGCAGCAAAGGAGACGAACTTTATCTTCAATACAACAACAAACTTTGTCAACCATCTCCAGGCTTAACGCTCACTCCCACAAAATATTCCATTCCACAAGAATCTCTGGTTAATGAGCGATAACAATCAGTGAGTCAAGAACAATACTTTTTTCTATTTAATACACAAAAAACATCTGTTTAATTTTCCTATAAAAACAAATATAGCTAACTAAACCTTGTCATTTTCACACATACAGTACAGTAACTCAAATTCTTTCAGTAACACACACCCCAAAGAACTCTATTGTGTTTATTAACTTTTGCACTATATGTTATGTATTTGTTGTGTTTATAAAAAAAAATATTTATTGTTGAACAAAATTCACATTTTCTTCTACTTGATTATTTCTCTTGTTGTTGTCTTTGTTACACTTGATATTGTAAAAATTGTAGAGGGTCAGTTTTTATTTCTATTTATAACCAATATAAATTGGCTGACCCACTATAGATTTTACAATTAATTGCACTGGATTTCTTACCTCAGGGAACCATAATCTCTGGTATACCTGTTGATGTAGGTACAGCCCCAACCTCTCTGTTGTGCTCCATGCACTTTAGTGATATGGAAATCTGTAATGGTAAAAATCTCACCTTCGAACCAAAGCCTGTATCAAATAATATTTCAGTAACAAGATATATAGAGAGAGTTATTGAAGCTATCGTCAGATTTCTTGAACCATTCCTTTTTATGCAGTCCTAAAGAATCAAACTCTTTGTCCAAAAACGTCACTGTTTTGATGTGCATGTTTTTATACAAAGCGATGTTCACCCTGTAAAAGGCTCGGGAGCAATTCGAGGTACAAGGTTAAAGAGTAAGAGGTACAATGTATGCGAATATGTGGGGAAGATGACGGCACGCCCTAGAATAAAACAGGTTAAGATTGTAGCGACCGGTGAATCATACTCTTGGGAGTCGATTCCAGAGATCAGCGATTTGCGGGAAGAAGCTGCTCGAGTGGAACGTACCTCTCACCGATGGATATCGAAGGGAATTAGGGTGATTTGCTCCGATGTGCGAGGTGGGCAGGCCTTAGGCGAGCACTGGTAGAACTAAGGAATGTACAGGGTGGTCCGAAAGTCTTGTTCCCCCTACCAGTATCGTACTCTTCTATATGTGCCCGTCGAGGGAAAGAAATAGTGCATCGTTTAGTAGCCTTGCCTTCGTTAAGAAATATAAATATCAAAACAAGGGAGATAACCTCATCGGGAAATTTTCAATAATGCTACCGGTAAATAATGAACGCGGGAAGACGACGTAAATTTTACGACTGATCAGTGCCAGGCTACGACTTTCTAGGACCGGTAACAGATTTAGAAAAAAAAAATACCAAGTACCGAGAAACAAACTAGACCTAGCCACTAAGGTACATGACATGACGCCGACAGAGACAAAACTACTAAAGACACTGACACACTTTTCTACGAAAATACACAAGGAACAGAAGCCCTCGGGGCTGCCGCGAAGGCGATTATTAAACTTAAGCACGCCTCAGGACTTGTCTCATATTTCAGACCTGAGGAAGGCAACGTATATACTCTTGTTTTTGCCTCACTGGATGCCCCATACATTCGGCCTTGTACCACATCTAAGCTATGCTTGGAAAATCACTGCGGGCTCCTCGGCGTGGTGTAATGGTTAGCAAGCTTGTCTCGCTAAAACAGTTACAATTGAATAGTGAGTTTGATTCTCACTGGGTGCCCCATATTTTCGGCCTTGTGTCACAACTGATCTATGCTTGGAAAATCAGGGCACCTTGAGGTGATGTAATGGTTAGCAAACTTGTCTCGCTGGAACTATTACGAATGAGTAGTGAGTTCGATTCTCACTGGGTGCCCCCTACTTTCGACCTTGTGCCGCATCCAAGCTATGCTTGGAAAATCACTATATACTTCTGACGTTGACAGCCCTAATAATATCTGCCAAATTTTGGCGGAGGGTGAAAGCAATACTGGCAGAGAGAGCGGGAGAGGCAACGGCTGGTCTGCCGAGGTCATAGGCACGGTCTTGCCGAAAGAGACACATAACGCAGCAACAACATACGTCTTCCATAGGAGATTTAAAAACTTAGTGAAAACAACCGAAATGAACAATACTAAAGGATTTTTCGAGAATTTTTTCGCGGATGAATCAAGGATACACAGCTTTAGACATAACTGAAAGGCAAACATAACGTCATACGATTACCTAGTTCCATACCATTTAATTTAATTAATTTAACATTAAGTTCCTATGTCCACCCTGACCGGAGGTGGTAGCACACGTTAGGGTCCCAGCTATGGGCAATTAGTTAACCCCCAAATGGGGGGGGGGGGGCAAATATTATGAAAGTGTAAAAATAGGTTTTAATAACAGATATAGTTTGTAAAAAAAATATTACCAGTAATACAGTTTTTGAAAAACAAATATTGCCAGCAATATATTTAATTTTTCATGGATAAAAAAGCCGAAATGCGAGGCGACAATGAAGCTTGCTACAAGTTACAGATTAAAATCGAAAGGATTCCAAACAGACAACTTTAACATGTAGAGAGTGGACGGCTAAACAACGAAGAGGTATTTGTCCCAAACCCAGAACCGTATTCGACATATACGTAGATAAAGAAGAATACATAGGATTCGAAAACTTAATGGTAATAACTTCGGTACCAAACAACAAGTTCACATTAATACAACCCATGACAGCTAAAGAGGCTGAATTATGCAAATACTAATACTTGCACATTATTATGTAGGGATGACAAGATTTTTCGGAGATAGAAATAGCGATAAAGAAACGAGAGGTTTGTGACATTTCCTCTAAGAGGAAGGGTTTGTAGTGTGAAAATAATGTGTCACCCACAATGATTCGAAGACGCTTTTGGAATCTATCGAGACTAGTACGTGAAGACAGGGAAGCTCGTGTCCGTATATGAGAGTATTACTCCATTGTATGCGCAATCTGGCTCTTGTAAAGTTAGAGGATAGCGGGAGGAATCAGGTATTTACAAGGAGCTGTTCACGGAACCTGTCATTTTCCACGATCTTTTTCGTATCTACGAGCACCATTTACGAAGTTTGGTTGATCTTAAGGCCCGATTGTGACTCAAGGCAAATGGCCTATATGAAGGAACATCTACTCATTGCGATAGTTGATGCTTCAGGGTCCGATCGGTCATAATGGAATGGATGTGTGTCATTTGGCTTTCCTATAGGCCTTCTGACATCCACACTTATTAGAATGCAGCTAAATCTTTCTTTAATAAAGTAATATGGTCTTATACCAATCATCTATATCCCATTCATGCCAAATTGAATGCTACCTTGAATGCTTTTAGTTTAAACCTAGCATCTTCGTTGAGTAAATCTCTTTGTCCATGTCCATGACAGATGCATTTGAACCTCATCTATCACTTGTCTGCTGTCACTGAGATTTTTGGTGTCTTGACCCGTTTCCGTAGTATACCAACTGGAGCTTTTGAGATTAAACCATTCTTTAGTCCATAGAAAAAACTTCCCGTGCGTTGAATCTTAGAGAGCATTTCTGAAATGTCAACTTGATATTCAATAACACATAGCGGTTTCTGGCTGGCTTATATTCTTGGCCATCTAAATTATCTTCATCCTGGCTTCTTTGGAAATTGACGCCATGATTCCAAGTAGTGAAAATATGCAGGAATCCTATGGCTTATATATATATATATATATATATATATATATATATATATATATATATATATATTCCTATATAGGAAAATATCGGTCCTGTTTCTGAAAATATACTTGCCATTTCGTGGTGGAACAGAAAAAAAGAGTACAAAGGTGACCGATATTGTATACAGCACAAAAATCATCCACTTATAAGATGACAATTATTAGAAAGTTACAGCAGTTTAAAATATGCTAAAATTTTCAACGGTACTCTCTCTCTCTCTCTCTCTCTCTCTCTCTCTCTATATATATATATATATATATATATGTATGTATTTAGATAGCAATCCTTTATTAACGCATCCTTCATTAAAAAAGACAGAAAAGATACTGTGGTTGAACTTATTTACTTTTTCTTGCGTTCAAACAAGTGTTTTTATTTTCTTTTTCATAGTGGGATAAAAAATTAAATAAAAACTTAATCGCGGTATCTTGTCAGTCGTCTTTAATGATCGGAATTACAGCACATAATCTGTCGTCTTTAATGAAACCGTTAGTGTCTATATAGAATTTATAGTATCTATACACAGTGGTTGAAATAGATCTCTCCCCCATATGAGGTTGTATCGGATTTTTTGTGTAATACTATTTATTGGCTCTGCTATAATACATACATTAAGCTCTCTTTGTGGATCCATTTGGAGTATATACCCACGGATATATTACCTATGCATTATATATATATCTATATCTATATCTATATCTATACCTATATATATATATATATATATATATATATATATATATATATATATATATATATTGTATTTTAGCCGGCAAATTTTCTTTAAAGCAACCGACGATTTTTGTCGATTCAGTTTATTGATCGGCTTTTTTTAAATTACGAATAATTCTTCTCCAATAAGGAGGAAATTTCGTCTGAAATTGTCCAAAGTTCATTTTCGAAGTATTATAGTTTAACTTTTTGATTTTCATAAGTCATCAGCAAGACTCATTGTGACAAATGGTGAGATTCGTATAACTAATTAGTATTGTGAGATTGGCAAAGAGTGGCGTCGGCATGTTTTGACGTGTGTATATATTTTTTTTAATTTTTTAGACATTCATTAGAGATATGCAGGTTCTTGAATTATAATTGTTTCCATTTATAATCAGTAAATTTTGCTTTATGGTCATTTTTTCGAGGAACATAAGTCAGTTTTTACTATTTAATTTGTCTACTATTTTTTGGTATTGTTTGTAAGTAGCTCTCTAATATTAATATAATCATTATACTGCTTGTTAATTTTTTGTCTGATACGCTCCTCTCCCTCTCTCTTTCTCACTCTGGCACATTCTCTCTCTCTCTCACTCTCTCTCTCTCACTCTCACTCTCTCACTATATATATATATATATATATATATATATATATATATATATATATATTACGATCTATAAAATGGGGTATGACAATACCTCACCAAGGTTTTCTTTGTGTCCATCTACGCCACGTCAATATATTCATTTTTGCGTGTTGCAATTCTCAATTGCTAGGGAAAGAGTTAAAGTTAGACCTAGTGAAATCGTGATAAAATCGTATGAGCAGATAACAAAAATGAATATTATAAGCTGACTTCAATCAAAAGATGGTAGGATCGTTGATGGTGAGTAGATATAAACAGATTGCGTCTGATAAATATGTTAGGAAACGCAAAGAGAGGCCTAAGTGAATGAAATGAAATTATATATATATATATATATATATATATATATATATATATATATATATATATATATATATGTATGTATGTATATATATATATACACACACACACATATATATATATACTGTTGAATTGGTAAAAAAATAAAGATAAAATAAAAGTTTAGATAAATGAAAAGAAAAAAAAGTATAAAATGAAAAAAAATGAAATGTCTTTAGAGAAATAATTCATCGACGGTAAACTACGAGAAAAGGAACGAGAAATGACGAGATTTAGGAACGCAAATGGGAAGGCTACTCTTAACGTTGTTATTTTTTTTTATTTCCTTCTTCCCGTTTGTCTGTCTAATGAAAACATGCGGAATTACTGCCTGCAGTCTGTTGCTATCTTCAGGTCGGATTCCCAGAGGGATTCCGTGCACGTTAGAGTTACAACAATGGAATCTAGCGGCGTTCCGTGTGTTGCAAGGGCGACCTTTTTATGTAGGAAAAGTCCCCTCAAGCAATTTTTCTATGTGTATGCGTTTGGGGGATTTTATTTATTTTTACGTTTTTTTTTTTTTTTCGTTTACTTGTCGAATTTTTGCCAACGTCAATGTGCATGCATACACATACATTCAAAGTGTAAGGGAATTGAAAGAAAGAAAAAAAAATGTCAAAAATGCATACCTTTACGGGGGAGATAAGGATAATGAGACGGAATAAAAATTTATGAGATGAAGATAAAAGAAAAGAAAAAATAGGTGGATTTGACAGTGAATGTATAAAATTGAATGGAATGGAAATTGTTACGATGGAAAAAAACCATACAAGTTTAAACCAGATTCTGTATATATATATATATATATATATATATATATATATATATATATATATATATAAATATATGAGACACAATAGCACACACAGAAGTATCTATTTATCTAGCTCTCTTTACCTCTCTCTCTCTCTTAAACACACACACACACACACACACACACACACACACACACATATATATATATATATATATATATATATATATATATATATATATATATATATATATACTGAAACCAAACGTTTGGAGCCAGCCTCTGGAAAGCGGAGAGAGGCCTAAAATTTTAGGTTACGTGTCTTTTTCAGAACTAATTTACTAATTCACTTCAGATCAGTATGACATTTTTTCCTTTGGGGCTTTATCATATATTCAATAATAATAATAATAATAATAATAATAATAATAATTGTTGTTGTTGTCATGCCAGTCCATGCAGATTGTAAGATACCTCTGAAGATCTTCAAAGAAATATAGAAAAATATAAGCATCATGATCTGAAGATCTCAAAGGCGTGGCACACGAGGACATTAAAAATTCCAGTTGTAGGTGGAGCCCTCGGATCGGTTGGAAAATATTTTGATAGACACATTGAATTGTTTCTTGCTAGCTTATGACTTAAAGAATTATAATCAATTGTACTCACAAGTACAGCTCATAATTTGCCAAAATCTTAAGTTAAATGTGTGTGATGTAGTTTTTTTACTTTTTTCTTACAAAATGATCAGTGGAAAATAACATGAACCCATTAGGTCTTTGGCTGGAACGCGCAAACATATTTTCTACAACAGAAGCCCAAGGAATGCACTAATCACCTATGTTCAGCAGGATTTTTACTGGAGAGTGTTTTTGAGAATGAGTTAAAAATAACTTCAACATCA